GCCCAACTGAAACTGTTGACAGATAAGCATGACAACAGAATATACAGTCAACAGCATAAAATTTTGAATAGGAGTCAAGTTCGAGTTTATTGCAAACACATTCGTAGGTATTCAAGGCACAGTGACATGTGTTGCCGCATGCTTCCTTCATGCATAATGTATATAAATAAGGGTTAAATAAATAAAAATAAAAAATATAAAGCAGACAAAAAGTCTTGCAGGAATCCTGTATTTCTCAAAGAACTGACATACCTCAGGCATCAGGGATGAGAGAAGGATCTCCATAATTTTAATACATTTGTAAGCAATCACTGAAGTCAGCATTTTAATGCTTAAGTAATCAAAAAAAATATTTTAGGAAGTTTCAATCTGTGTGATTAATATTCATAAGGGCGATCCTCAGAAGCGTGTTTAAATTAACACGATTCACTGCTGCACTTTGATTTCCTGATTGAAAGTGAGCGAGAAAGCAAATCTTGTTACTGAAACACTCAGTGTTACCCAGAGCTCTGGGGAATAGAATGGAACAGGGACCGATCATCTTAAAGTTTGCTGCAGCGGTGGAATATCTGAATATCAAATTAGTCAAATCTGCACCCCGTATGAACACAAACGTTTACAAAAGCAATTATGGTGACATGTTTTCGAAACAATGAGTACCTATCACTCCTTAATCCTCCTTTGACACACAGTTCTCACCCCCCACCACCACCACCAAGACAGCCAAATGATAGGGTTTCTGAAACAGCGCTGGGCTGGTGACAGACAGCTGATAGATTACACGTGAAACATGGCAGCTGATATGATGTAAGGCCCCAGCAGACGATTCCCTTGCTCTTTGTTTCTACAGTACATGAAATGAGGGAGAAACACAAATCCCCACCAGGAATGACAGACTAAAATTTGAGGCAAAAAACTTTTCCATAAATATTCATGCATTTGGCACATACTTCACTCCAAGCCATATTTTATTTAAAAAAAAAAATAAAAATCTGATTTTGTTAAAAAAAAACTTATCCTGATAAATATTTGAAAATACAGAGAAAGTAAAACTGGTGTTGTCCAAATATTTCCAACTCTTAATTATGTCCTGGGATTATAGTAATTTCCCCTAAATTAAGAGGATTATCCCAGTGCAGTAGATAAAAAAAAGCTATTTTAATTTCATTGTGCCTCTGCTACAGTATGTGGGTGCAGTTTGGTGCTGCAATTCAGGAAAAAATACCAGGGTGGACTTACATTTGATGAGCCTGGGATGAACACTCCAGGAAAAGATAAATCTGAATGCCTGTCACAGAACATTCTACAGTCATGCACTAATCACAACAGGTAATTGAAATCACCTCAGCTGTAGAAAACGGGCTTAGAATTTGAACAAAAAATAAACAAAAACACAATTAACCACTCAGAGAGCGCATGTCTCCGCCAAGGCTCAACACACCCCCACACGTCTGGGACACATACAAGTAGCATTATCATGTCCCACCACACAAATAAATAGAAAATTCCTGGATCCAGAATTTGGTAAGGATCACACCCAAAATGAAATCACTGTCTAAGTAAAGCCAAGACACACCCCAGATAAAAATTTCATGAAAATCTGTCAATTATTTTTTTTTCCATAATGTTGCAAACAAACAAATGGACATACTTACCCACCATGGACTATATAAAAAGATGGACGAAGCAACGGTGATGTCACCCATTGGTTTCAGCATACCATTTAGGAAGCCTCGATTTTGGTAATTTGAACAGCACCATTTTGTCATTTTGAAACCGGATGTGATTCCTATTGGACCAGAGCGTGAATTGAAGATCCGGGGAGGACCGTGGCTCTGGATCTGACCATGTCGGACGAGGACCAGAGGATAGCCACGCCCCTAAAGCATATTCTGGCTTTGTCCTTTATTCTAGTCAACTTGGAACCATAATTTACAAAAATGAACATCACAATATATTGAAGGAGACTTGAAACTTGCGATAGATAGCATGAAATGATATGGAAAATCATTATTGAAATAATAAATCAGGTGGCAAAGTAGGGTCATTTTCTCATAGACTTCTATAGCATTGAACTTCTTTCTGCAACCACCGACGTTGCCATCTGCTGGCCATTGAATATGATGCAAATTTTGAGATTTCCGCATCGGCCTCACTTTTCAGACCCGGGCGCTGTGTCCATCTTTTTATACAGTCTATGTTACCCACAAACTGAAGGTAAAATATATCCTCCTCAGTGGAGGTAATAGTGAAAAGTGTAATCCGGACTCATAGCATCCAGGTGTCTTCAACATCCAATCCTCTCCCCTCTCTATTGAGCTCTGATTGGTTCAGCTTTGGCATATCATTTATGAGCCATGATGAATTGAGCCACCCAGCAGCATGACCCCACACCCATCCATTTCTGCAGAATTTCATTGCTCATTAATACCTAAATAACTGCACATTTACAATACGATTATAAATATTATTTTACTGCACTTCACATTTTGCTGTTATCACAGGCATAAGCATTGTGCCTTTTGCTAATTTTTCCCAGAGGACAAAGGAGGCCAAATGTTGCAACAACTGGGGACTCCAGGGAAATTTATATTACATTTATTTGACAGGCCCTATTATCCAAAACGACCTCCAATAATGACATACTGATTACAGAAGGTCACTGGCACACATAAAGAAAGTATGTCAGACATGGAACTATTCAAATTAACTGTCAGTGCATTCACAGCCATGAACACCAGAAACATCAATGAACTTTATTCATATGCCGCCATTCATACATAAAATGCAGCTCAAAGTTCTTAAGTTTAAGTCAAGTGTTGTTTACGCTGCAAATTTGGACTTAAGTCAAAGCAAAACTTTGGAAATATTTGGATATGTGATCAGCAAAAAAAAAAAAAAAAAAAGTTAGGGCTGGATAAAACTGCAAAATAAGTGACACAAGATACTATTACACTCAAACAGACTGTCCACACGCCCAACAGGAAATTGCTAAGGAAACACTAAGTTCAGAACCCAACCATGCGCAGCAAAACAGAAGCGATAAGAGTGGTAAATGAGTCCTACGGTGCTGTAAAGGCGTATATGAGCACAAAGCATAGAATCATCCCAGTGCAGGAAACTGCAGAGCTGTAATGGCCTCCCAACTCAGCGAAAATTTGATGTTTATATATCAGTCTCATATTAAACCGTGCTAATTTCACCCTTGTGATTAAAGCATCGTAACACATAGGAATCCATTAATTTGCAAAAGACAATTACTGCTTCATTTTATAGACTGAGGAGATTGGATGCATAAATTAATCATCTGTATGTTGAAGTGTCTCGTACCCATTCTTAGCATCCATACCACATAGTGCTCTGCATTTCCACATGAGCAAAACCCACTCGAGGTGCTCACTCCTGTTCTGACAGCTGTTATGGCCCCAATTTGTTACGGCGTCAATTACAGCAAGGGATGACAGACAAAATTCTTCAACTTCAACAGATTTAATTAAACAAAACTTAGAACTAATCTACACTCTACCCTACTGACCAAGATTGAAATAAAATAAAAAATGAGATATTTACAGTTCCTTTGTACTGGAGATGGGCTGCTATGTTGCGATGTCCTGGGACGGGAAAATGCTCCAACACAGGCAAAAATCCACAAAAAACTTCACAGGTCTTGAAAAGAGTGACAGGTCTGGTCAAATGTATCCTTCCACAATTTCTCCTTGCAATTTCTCCAACTACAACTACTCTCTCAATTTTTCTCCTTATATACTCTTTTCCAGCCCCCTCTGAGGCATGCCCAGGACATGCCCAAACCTAGCTTTAGATTGGGCTTAACAAAAAAAAATGTCAATACTGCCATCTAGTGGCTTTTTTTCCCCCATTACACAGCTAAACAGCTAAACAAACCAGCACTAAACATGACCTGTTTACACATGGCTGCTGTACGATGAAAAAAAATGAAAACACCACCGATCTAACATTAAATGTTCTAATGTCTCTGCCATGTTGTGCTGATGTAATCTAATAATACACTCAGTTAACATTGTGAGAACATTTTGTGCCAGCTGAGCTGTGCCACTTGTGAAGAAATGATTCTCTTTTTGAGGGGACACTGTTGCATAGAATGGGGTTCTCACATTTTCAGCGATTTCAAAATGGCTCTTTCCCAAAACTGATAGCACAAGTAGATAGATCAAATAGATAACTGCTTATAGATATCGCTTTACACACCAAAAGCATAATCTAAAAGACGGTGACCCAATCCGCTTTACAATGATAAGGGGGAAATTCTCCTCCAGAACCAGCAGTGTGTAGCACCCACAAATTTGTAGCAAGAACCTCACCACACATTAGCTGAGGTGGAGGGGGGGGGGAGTTTTTAGCCAATAGATTCGGGGCATGGTTACACAGCAGGTTGAGACAGCCAGGTGGTGAGGTTGACCAAGACAGTGGGGAACTCCCAAATGTCACTAAGTCCCCCAACCACACACACCCCAGCACACCAGGAGACTCCTTCCACCTGCTTATTTCACAATTTCTTCTTTCATTCCAAAACCTTCATGTTTTTATTTTTATTTTTATGGTTGCTTGTATGTTGTTTTTGAAACACTGTAGCCTACCGCTGATGTGTTAGCCAGGGCTCCCTTCAAAAGAGCACTTAAAATCCAATGGGACTCACCTGTTTAAATAAAGGTTTAGTAAAAAAATAATAATAAAAATGAAAATAACCAAGGAGCAAAGTAAGTGAAGACAGCTGAGTGAAAGAGACGTGAATTATCGAAATGGATTGCCCCCACAACAAAGGAGTCAGTTCAAACCAATGTCAGTTACTGGCATGGTAGGTGGAGAGAGGCAGGTTCACAGTCCAATCCTTTACACTTGTCTTGGAAAAAAAAATATTTCCACTGAGCATGCTCAAAGGTTTCCTTGCTCAATATGTCTTAGAAAGCAGGTGGGAGCTCCCAAACCTCCTGAGGACACACTAAATGGAATAAAATCTCTGT